ATATATATATATATATATATATATAAATGCATGTTAAATCACGTATCGTAGTAAATAAAATAACAAGAAAGTTATAATAAAATGTATAATATAATCATAAATTTATAAGAAATTTATGTATTTGGCTGTAAATACATGTCTATAAACAGTAAATACATGTAGTGAAGTATTTGGATCAATTGGTTAAAGAGTGAACATAACCCACTTAAATTTTTAATATATTTTAAGTGCATTATAAGCTAAATTATATAAATCGTGATAAGTGACAAGAGTTAGAATATTGTACCAGTCAACTCTGTACGGAATATTTTGTATATTTTCAATTCAAACAAGTAACTTTTTATTATAAATTATACGATTAATTATTCCCCAAACTTATTTTACAAATTGTGATTTATGTAAAGGGAAGTCCTAATGTCCGGTAGCTCAAGTTTCAAACCAACTATAAAAGCATTTTATGAATAGAGCTAAGCAAATGCCCCCGTAGGTTCCTTTTGTCTTAATTTGATTAATGTAAAATTTTGCAACACTATCATCGAATGTGTTTTCATTTGTTGTTTTTTTATTCAGTCCAATCTGATCAGATATGTGTTTTCATGTTATCAAAGTTTTTTGATTAGATGTATATTAACGTAAAAATATGTACTAAGTGCATACCAAAAATAAGAAAGGTAAAGTCAAGCTTGCATGACCTATAGTCAAACCTTTAACAAATGCACGAAAGTTGGCAACTAAATTGACCAACACCTTCAAACTTCGTAAAAGAGACAACCAAAGGCAACACTTACATATTGAAAGAAATTTAATAGAGATAGAATTTTGAAGGGAAAAAAAAAATAGAATGAGTCAACCATACGCAATTAAGTATATAAGCACATCATATAATTAAGCATACCATAATACTGGATTGAAATTCCCGCATTAACTAATTATTCAAACGAATCTTCGATTCCTTTGTCCGATTATTTTGTGAATAAATTAGAGGTATCTTCTTTTACTTAGTTGTTCATAAAAGGATTCTATTCATTCATTGGGAGAACTGCACTCTTAATTTTTAAGTGAACAAATAGACATGAAAAGACCTAAAAAGAAAAGGAAAGAAGGAAGGCACCTTGGCATATATTGTCTAGTTGCTTCTCATCCTCATCTAAGATATTGCACATATCTTCAAAACTGGAAAACAAAAGAATTGCATTAAAGATTCATTTACTCAAACTTTTTTTAAATAAATTATGATATATATATATATATTTTTAAATTATATTTTTCATACATAATACTTAAACTTGAAATTTTATTTAAAAGATCGAAATCAATTTCACTCCCATCAATACTTATTATTAAGATTGTTTAAATTTGTTATTATTTACCTTTTAAAAGTTTTAAAAATTCAACTTACCTAATTACTGATGCAATTTTTTAAATATAAAATTCCATTAAAAATAATTCTAGAAAACACGAACAAACGAACCACCTAGGTTTAATAAATGTACTAGAATCATTTACATTCTCTCACAATATATCCTTGTACAATAAATTAAGCACTTCCATTATCTTCTCGGCAAGTGAAGGAACTCTGAAGATTTATTTATTTTTTATATTGAATACTTAAATATTTGGCAAATCAACAAAGAGTGCACAAAACTTCTAGTGTTTGCCTTTTGAAATTGTGGTCGACATGATGCTGGCTGACGATCGGATCAATAAAACAAGTAGATCTTAACTATATATTCTTATCTTTTGCTTGTCAATTTTATTTTGCATCATATCTAAATTAGGGTACGTAGCCGAAAATTATAGGAATGACAACATCGTATCTTATTTTCAAGTGCCGAAAGAAAATGCTAAAATTAAAAGCTATAAGACTTAAATGATATCTTAATATTGTAAATACTGTGAAACGATCATTTAATTAGGTTGCTTACGCTGTGATTTATTCATAAATGTAATTAATTTGTTGAATTGTTTCTGGTTGCCTACCGAGAGAGTAAACTGGAAAAGTATTATGGGTATTAACTAACTAATAATTGTGTAATTTTTTAAAGTAATATTTTAAATTTGAATTTTGTATATAAAAAAAATATGATTGAAAGGAAAAATAATGTTAATAATAAATGAACATTACGAAAGAAAAGTAGTATTTTATTTGCGAGTTTAAATATAAAATTTAATTATCTAGTTCACTGAAATATGAAAAATAATTAATCTAGTTGATAATAATAAATTTTTCTAATTTTTTTTTTCAAAATTATTATTATCTAAGTTTTTCTCCTAATTAATATTTTTCTAAATTTATATATAAATAAAAATAAATTAATTTTATGTAGATTAAGGTAGATAGTTAAATATATTAAATTTTTATAACTTTATATAAAATATATATTACATTTATTAAAATATTTTTAATCATATTTATCATAGTGCTTTCATTTATTATATTATAAATATTTTTTAATAAAGAATATTAAATAAAGTTTACTTAATTAAATTTATTTATATTGAATAAATTTTTT